TTCTATTATACTAATTGTCATCTACTTATATTATATATAATATCTTTTCTGATCGCTTGATTTTCTCTTCCAGTAAATTTCGTCTATTATCGTTTAAACCATGAAATCATTTTATCTGAAATTATTCTAGTAGTAATTGCAATGGAATAATTTGGAAGGCAAATTTTCGGCTGCGACAATTTTTTTCAAATTTGAGAAATTTTCAGAAATTGGCTTTTTGTGTTTGTAAGAGAATGAAGTTTTCCCATAAGAAGGAACACTTCACTTTTGCAACAGTTCAGTGTCACAAGCAATTGCTACTGATAATGGTTTTCTTCCCTTTCCTTCTTTACATATGCCAATGTGCACTTACTTCCTTTGTCAGCAATAATGAGTTACTTACAATTTACCTCTTCGAATTTCAACACTTCTTTTCTGCATCATCTCTGTCTCTTCTTTTCTATGCAATATGCCATTTACTAAATAGTCTGCCAGGGAACTGAGATAATTAGAAACTTATTCCAAATGTCAAAAGCTGAACTCTTGAAGATCAGAGGATAACAACACATTGAACCATTTAAATAGTTTTGTTGATAGCATATCTCATCCTTGATACTGAACATTCTATTTGTTGATTATAATTAATATCACGGAATATCAATGAATTAATAGGAACGGAGTCGAAAGATCATCCTAGATAAGTAAGCAAGTTATCAAAATGAGCAAGAAGTATTGAATGAACCAAAGATAATCTGAAATAGTCTTTGATAATCTCCCCCACGATTAATTTATCAAATAGTCATTTCTAAATTGGTCAAATTTAATTCTCAAAAAGGAACAGAAAGTGTAGATAGGTGATGACCAGAACTCTCAGAGAGAAGAATAGGAAAATGAACCAACACTGGGAAAATCAAGAAGTGAACATTGGGCTACAATCACGGTTGTGACGTTTCATCTTGGCTCTTTTGCCTCGGGCCAAGGATGAGTTTAGGACTGCATCTCTTCCTAAGCTTCTCTTACTCTCAATTCCTCAGTACTCTCTCGCCGTTCTACTCATCATCTCTTCCTCTTCAAATGTTGCATTATTCAAGGCGCTCAATCTCATGTACTTTTATTTCTCACCACACGCACTATTTTCTCCTTCTTTGCTTCCAACATTCTTTATATTTCAGCAGTTCCCTTCTCATCTCTTTCTTCATTCTCTGCTTTGATGGGCACAATCCGCGACCCAACAGCT